CAGGAATGGGAAAGGGGGAGGAGTAGAGGAGATACGACTGAAGGTAATGGGAGGAAGTGGCTGAAAGGGCAACAAGGGTTTGGATGGTCAGAGAGGGGGAGCTAGTCGTCCCTGCTCTTCCCCTTGTTGGTTGTTCAATCTGTTTGTCCTCTTTTCCCTTTGCCCTTCACGTGCACTGAGGTGCAGGGCGTCCTGTGTCTCTGTGCCTTTCTACCATGCATTCAGGTTTTCAGGGCTTTTAGCCTCTTCGGGTGTATGAGGGCTTCCCTCTCTGCTTCCTGGTCAGATGGGGAACTAAAGGACCTCATTGCTCAGAGAAGGTTGAAACTTCTGGACCCTTTGAGGCCTTGTTGTTGTGAGCTCTTTTGTTCCCCCCTGCATGTGTCCCTGGCCCCTCTAGCATGTCCTGAACTACTGCTTGGCCCCTGGAGGGATCTTGACAGGACTCCAGATTTAAACATCTGAAAAAATGGGAAGGCGCAAGCTGTCCCTTTGTACTGGGGGAAATCTGGCTGAGCTACCAGTGTTGAAGCCAGCACCGAGGAAGCTAAATGGCTGGTTCCTGAGTCCAGCTGGGGTTCGTGCTGAAGGGAGCTGAGCTGAGCAGAAGTCATAGTAAAGGAGGCATGAGGCTGGAGCTGAGCCTGATCTGAGGGACAGCTTGGCCAACATAACCGAGGAGGTTTCTGGCCTTCTTTTGAGCTGTTGCCTGTGGTGACTGTGTCCAGCTGCAGCGCTGGAAAACAGAGTTGAATCCCTTAAGGTACAACACGTGCTTTCATTTGATGATATTCATGAGATTGTGGAGAGGGATTCAGTATTTGTGGCTTGCTGTTCCCACCTGCTTCCCCTGCCTTTTGTCACAGTGCGGCCTCTGGTGCCTTGCACAGTGACTTCGGCCGTACAGAGCTGCCCCTGGCCATCCCGTGCATTGGTCATGGCAAATGCAGGAGGAAAGGTTGAGGGGGACTGCATGGTGCTCCTGGTGGGGCTAGGGATAAGGTAGCTCACGTGTGTATCTCAGCTCCTGTTGTCATTTTGTTCAGGACTTGGGGATTTGCTGAGCTCTTGCTAAGCATGGCATCAGCACGGTCCTTAGTCAGTGAGCATGCAGTATACAGGGCAGCAGCACGGCTCGCTCATTCAGTCTAGGTTAGAAGAGGCTAACTGGGTTCTCATGGTGGCTGAGAAAACAGAGCTTGTATAGACGGGTAAGCAGTGTCTCTTGTTGGATCGAGATTTGTGCGCTCAGAAGCTTGTCTAGTTTCTTTCCTTTTCTTACCAGTTTCTCTCATAAAAGCTATTGCCTCTCCCTCCAGATTTTTGTCTTGCTAATAGCCTTCCACCATCATAGCTACAGTGTAACCACTGCTACATGGATGGAGAAGGCAGCATCGTTTTCTGATTTCTGTTCTTTTATTTCAGGACATCTGCACAGGGGCAGAATTAAGGTAGTTTGAGTGCTTGGTTTGAGAACTGCAAACATAACGCTGCATTTCTGGAATTTCTAACATTTGAACTTTTTTTTTTTAACCTTTAATGTTTTGGGAGAATAAAATGCTCTTCTATGAAGAATATGTGCTTGTAACCTTAACTTCACTTAACAGAGGTTTATTTTGCATGTTGGGAACGTCTTAGCTTTTCAGTAGTGTTGCACCAGAGAGTTAAGGAAGCCTTAGGAAAAATTCCCCCTGCCCTTGCTCAAACAAGTTCAGGAGGGGATGTTTGCTGACTGAGATGTTGGGTAGCAGCCTGGCACTTGGCAGACGTATGGAGGCACTCGAGAGCAGGGAATTTACTTAGGTAAAGACAGCTCTGCCAGTCTGCGGAGGGAGACACAGTGTCAGCACAAGCTGGTCTGAGTCCTCCGTCTTTCCCTCTCTTTTCACCGGTGCCTTGTGTTTTTATCTTCTGCAATTTAGGATGCCTGAGGGTTCAGAGAGGGTGTGTGGGTAAGCAAGCTTTCAGTTGGGATATTGAAGCTCCAAGGAGCAGAGAAGACAGTGATGCCTGCCAAATGCATCAGTGAGGAACGTTAAAGGAAACACCAGGTGTCAGGTTATAGACGAATTGGATCGTGTGCCCCAGCCTTCAGTCCTGGCCAAAGCAAATTCAGTAACTGATTAGCCACAGGCTTTGTGCTGGCTTGTGGTTGCTGTACATGGTGGCCCAATCATGACAGTGGGTCATGATTGCATCTGACTCTTAGAGTGTATTTTGGCTCTTGATGAGCCATTGGAGACTGGAGACAAAGATCAAAGGGCAAGAACTCTTGAAACCAAAGTCCCTTCTTTCTGAAAGCTGGATATTCCTGGTGTTTGTGATTTGATGGAGCTGTGCAATACTGTTTTTGCCAGGCCACGCTCCCCCCCCCCCCCCCCGTAAGAGGCTCTCCTGGGTGACTGTCTCTGTTTCTTCCCCATCACAGACTGCTCTATGGACCTGCAGTGCCTCCCGGCTCCCATGGCCACCTCCATCCCCGTGAGCGAAGGGTTGGCCCCTTTGCCCTCCGACTCTGATGTGAAGGGCCTGCCTACCTCACTCCCTGCTGCCAGCTTGCTCCCGTCTTCAGACTGTGTGTCCCTGCCAGTGCCTGAAAGCGTGGAGGACTTCACAGATGGTGACATCATTGGGGAAGAACTGGACTCCCTCCTTGACTCCCTTGCTGAGGGCTCACAGTACCCTCTAGTAAGAGCGGGCGCTGCACAAGTCCCTTGCTTTTTGATCCAAATAGGTCCTTGGAGCATGTGTATATGCGTGCTGCCTCTCTCTCTGTTCCTTTTCCTCCTAGCTGTTCCTCTGGCAAAGCTTATTCACTCCTCCCTTTATTTCTGCAACGGGCTTGTGAGTATCTAAAGAGGCCCCCTCCAAGCCTGGGTTGCTGTGTGGCACACACAGCTACCTGGAGCTGCCCCTCAAAAGGTAGCCAAGACAGCCGTCACGTGTCACCACTTTCTTCCTGGCTCCTGGTGTCTGTGGTTTTGAAACAGGTGTGAAGGTAGAAATGAGCGCGCTGCAACAGGAAAGCTGATCTAACCTTCTAGTATTTGTGCAGGCTGCATTCGGCCTGAGCTCTTAAAGCAGGTTTGGGTGCTGTAGAGACGATCTGTATTGATGCTTATGCTGGATTTTAGTTGCCAGTGTTAGTGATGTTCTGTGAGCCAGCTTGGATCTGAAAGCAATATAGTCGTATCCATGCAGGAAGCCTCTTCAGCTGAAAAACTCTTCTGAGTGGTGCCAAGAGCAACGGTTGTAACTGTGACCTCCGTGCTGTGTGTGTTCAGCTCTACTGTTTCTCAGCCTGAGCTGGTTCAAGTGCTCAGCACAGAGCTCCGCCTGGCAGACTGACTAGCTCAGGTAGCCTGACTCCTCCTCAGAAAACTTGGTGCAGATTGTTTGCAGCGTAGATAGACTGGAAGATCTGTAGGAAGTTTGTGGGCAGATGTAGCTGTTGGACATCCTTTCCTCCAGATAATACAGCATGTTCTTTAGTGCAAGTCTCTTGCTCTCTCTGTACTCTCTGCACTCATTCTCTGCTCCTCATTTTTAATATTGTGTTTATCCTCCCCCTTCCCAATTCCCTGAAGTCTCTGGTTCAGGGCACCATTCCCACCAACCTGCCAACAGAGATGCCCCAGCTGATCCCTGTTTTTCCGGGAGGAACCCCACTGCTGCCCCCAGTCGTGACAGCCAGCATCCCCGTCTCCACGCCGCTGCCACCTGCCTCCTTCGGCCTCGTGATGGATCCCACCAAGCAGCTCTCCTCCTCCTCTGTCCTGGATGCCTTCGAGCCCCCACCAGGAGGAAGTGGCGGCTCCACCTTAGATTCTCTGGATTCCCTGGACCTGCTCCCCTACACAGACTCACGGCTCGATGCCCTGGACTCCTTTGGAACTAGAGGGTCACTGGATGCCTTGGATTCCTTTGCCATTGGTAGGTGTGCAGCAGGAGTAGGGTTGTACTGTTTTATCTGTGAATGCATGCCATGGTCATTTCCTTGAGCGCTGAGAAGTCTGTCATACACCTCTGTCTGCCGGTGCTGCAGAACGGGAGAACAAATCGTAGAGGGCAGGGAATTGTCTTGGACAGAGCAGCTGAATATGTCCAGCTCAGTGGTAATGAGAAGGTCTATGGGTGTGTAATCCCAGACAACCATTATGTGCAGGATGTGAAATCTCAGAAGAAAGGAATCTCAAAAGGTATATAATGATGAGCAAGGAGGTCTAATCCTGGCTTGGTATCCAGGGTACCTCCCCTGGCAGAATTTGCTAGACCATAAAGTGATTCCTCTGCCTTCCCCGAATGACTCTTTATCATTTTGGACAAAATTGGCAAAATCCTGGTGACGGTTTTATGTGATGTAGGACCTTCTTGCAGTGGGCAGAATGGCAGAGGCTAAGGTCTAGGAGGTCTCTCCCATTCCTGGTGAGGGGAATGTCACAAGGGGCACTGCACTCTCATGTCACAAGGAGCCAAGCTGTACAGGAATGGTTGGTAAGGAGCAGGTCCCCTCCTGTCCCAGGAGGGAAGGCAGGCTTCTCGACTGGGTCATTCCCAACGTTGCAATATGTTACCAGCAAAAATATTTTGAGAGGAAGAGAGATTGGCCAGTCTCCTCAAAGTAGGCTCAGATTTGCCTCAGGACTGGGCAACCTCAGAGCTGCTGCCTTGGGAATCCCAGCGCTGGGCAGTTTGGAATTGGGCTCAGCGAGGTTTGGAGGACAAGAGGGCTCTTCCTGGACTCTTTCAAGACTTAGTTGGCTGGCTTGAGGAAAAAATACTAAAAAGTTACAAAATAAATAAAGCAAATGGATTTCACAAGCAGCTGTTTGTCCTTCTGCGAGTAGAACAGTTTCTGAAAGTGAAATGATTGTTTTTGTTTTGTGGGATTTTCTTTTTTCCCTTCATTTGCCCAGAAGAAACCAGCCCTCAGGAACTGCGACACCCACCTGGCAGCCAAAAACCATCCCCCGTGGTGAGTGAGCCGCTCCCCCATGCTGATGTCCCAAGGTGCCCTGGAGCCAAGGTAGTAGTGACTTGGGTGATGTAGGTAATTCGAGCCCCTCTTCTTAACTTGCCTTAGTGAGCGTTGCCTCTCTCCTTGTGGCAAGACAGGTAAAGACTTCCCCGGAGGCAGTAGGAAGACACTCATTCCATCTTTTATCTGTAACTTCAGCCTATTGCCAATGTAAATTCGATTGTAGGATCAACCCGGGGTCATGGAAGCCAGTGTCCCGGCTATGTCTGGCAGCCACATAGCACTGAAGGATGAGGCTCTGTAAGCCAGCTTCATCTTAAGACTAGTGAGATTCTTTGCTCCTCTCTGCCTCCATCAGAAGGCTTTTCCAGATGTGGTGTTCTGCCCCTGACCCATGTCTCCAGTCTCGGGGGTAAGGGAGAGGGTTATTCCCTGTTTAGCCAGTTTGGAACAAGAATTATTCTTCTCAAGTTTCTGTCATTCCACTATCCCCGTTGTGTCGCTGTAGAGCAAGGTCTCTGTTCTTCTCAATTTCATCTGCTTCATGAAGACTCACTTGATAAGTGGTTCTTTTTCACTCAGATTGCGGTAGGGTTAGATTGAGAGTCTTTGAATGCAGAGCTGCTTGCGATGGAAGGAATGGGAAGGGAAGAGCATTTTGTTCCATGACTGACAGTGGAGAACTGTTGTCCCTTACCGAGAAAGAAAGGGGCCCCCTCTTGGAAGTAAATATCACACATTGTGATCTTTGAAAAAAATTGCATGCATCTCTTTTGGAGATGTTATCTCAGATGTGAACATTTTGATGAGGGTGAAAATGAGGACGGTTATTGGGAGACTGGAATGGGGTGTGGAGTTAGAGAGGGGTTCTTTCTTACCCATCTGGTTGCAGAGCTTAGGCGAGAGGGGTGTATGTTTTTTCTCAGGTCAGCCTAGGTGGAGTGAATCACTCGGCTGTGCCTAAAGTCACCGAGCACCTGCTGTCCCAGCCAGAACCAGTAATGCCCAACACAGCCCTGCTGGTGAAGAACCCCTTGGCATCCACTCACGTCTTCAAACAAGCCTGTCATATCTGCTACCCCAAAACAGGTGATGCATTTGCTGTGCCACCCAGAACTTTGGGCCTGGTAGGGTTTTGCCCTTGCCCCAGCTGACGGGGCCCTTCTCTCCTGCAGGGCCCAAGGCTGGTGATTACACCTACCGGGAAGGCTTGGAGCACAAGTGCAAACGGGACATCCTGCTGGGCAGGCTGAAGAACTCCGAAGACAAGACCTGGAAGAGGATCCGTCCTCGCCCCACCAAAACCAACTTTGTAGGATCCTATTACCTGTGCAAAGGTGATCTGAAGGGGATAGGGGTGGCTGGGTGGGGACTGTAAGGTGCATGCCAGTGGAGGCTGGGAGGGCATTGCCTGCTGCATTTGGGGTTTTCCAGTTCCATCATTAGCCCATGGACTGGCAGGCCTGGTACAGTCGAAGGGCCTGAGCTCCCGTGCCTATGCCATACTGCAGGAAGCAGGGAGCTTTGAAAGTGGTGGAGCAGGAGAAGAGTTGCAGTGGGATCACAAAGACATAGTGGGGTGCTGTGCACAGCCAAAGGCTCAGAGCTGTCCTGTGGACACATGCTTTGCTGACAACCTGGCTTCTGTACGTGTGCCTGCATTAGTCCCGCTCCATCTAGCAGCCCTCTGGCAGGGCTCTGGTTCTGCCTTGGGAAAAGCTCTCTCTGCCTGCTCCTTGCTCCAGGCCATCCCTTGGTATGTGCGTGAGATGTGACCAGACTGGTCTCTGAGGCAATGTCATTACAAAGGACCTAATGAGGTGAGGAGAGTGCAAGAGCCAAGATAACAGGGCTCATCTGTGCTGGGCTGTGAGGGCAGCTTAATTTGGATTGACTTTAAAAGGGGTTGTTGGTTAAACCGCGCTGTGTCCCTGGCCAGACACTGAATTAAAGCAGGCCTCCATTTTGAAACAGTTTTCCCAGTGAATGGAATCTACTTGAAGTTCTCACTGTTCATTAGTTTGGATTAACTTCCCCGAGTGTCCTGGTACTGTAGACATACTTG